ATAACGCTACCACCCTGCAATGCACCATGCAGGCAGGTCTCGTCTTCCTGTCCGCAAAAGACCCTTCAGATCGCAAGCTGGAAGGATCACACAAAGAGGCCGGCCAGCACATTTAACCCACAACCCTCCCCCCAGCACCACGTGTCTTTGACCCCTCCACAGCTAAGGTACCTGGCATCTTTTTCTTAATTGACCCCCCTACTGGACCCTGACGGATTCGTAGCGGATGAGTAATGGGCTAACCTAGCGAATTGAACATTGCCGCAAGGATTTGAAGGACTGACAATTTATTAAATGTACCTACCTATGTTTATATTTATCGTACATATATACAGTTTTGTATCGAGTTAAGTATCCTCTTGGAAACTAGATATAGGTGGTTATAGTGTTCTATCAAATATATACTAACTACCTAGGTACCTCCATACCTAAGGTAAATGTTGATACAGCTTAGACATGTATTAGGTAAGGTACCTCCTACCATTAGGTAGGTAGGTAGGTACCTGAGGTATAGCTAGACTGTCTAACTAGGGGCGGGCCGTCTTTTTTGTTTTCAAATACAAATTGAGGCTTGACTGTCTACTCTGTCGTCATTGATTACGCCATGCAATACTCGGTGTATTGCCATTATTAATGCTAACGAAGAATTTCGAGACCTCCTTGGTATAAAAGTCTGGCTGCATGATAATGAAGTAGTAAATAGGTGTACATAGGACTGGAAGTATAGTGGCAGAGTACACCTAAGATATATGCTTGGGTCGGTTAAGTTAATCTTACGTGGTTAACGGAGTAGGCATCTCGTCGTATTCTCGTCCAACCTCGGGCCTGAGGTCCTGACCGTCAGGTTTAAGTGGAAACATACCTAGGTTGGGCTAGGTACCTACCTACATTGCCTACCTTATTATGTACCTACCTAAGGTAGTCACCTAAAGTTGTGTAATTCTGGTGTTCTGAAAGGGTACCTTCCAGTTCGATCACCTAAAGTCCCCCGCCCGCACGCACGGTGCCTCCTGTATTGTGACCATAAAAAGGTGCGGGAAGTTGCGAAGGCTACAATTACGTATGTAGTTAGTTCGTTACGACTAGGTGCATACACGTATTTCCCCAACTTTCTCTCTTACTCCATGTCCCCCCAATTCTCCAGCCTTCTCTCAATCGATTCAGCTGAACATTTTACAACCACATCTTTTGGAATATTCTGTTACCCATTCCCATCCCCCCTTCAAAGTATTAATCACCATCCTCACCACTACCTCCATATAATCAATATCTTGTGCACCACCCCAACCGTATTTAGTTGCTTCGTGTCTTTTCAACGTGTAGGTTGGTTGGTTGGTTGGTTGGTTGGTACCTATACTAGGTACATGCTAAGCATTCAATGCGTGCGAGCCCTACTGGTGGGGAATTAGTTTGTTGATCCGCCCGATCGTCGTTTTAGGTAGGTTCAAACAGCCGTTCTATTGTTTTTTCTTCTTCTCTATATTCAAAAGCCGGGCATTGGTCCTACGGGAGAGGGGATTTTGTTTACCACTCTACCTATTTTCACCGACCCCTCCCCTTGCAGCCCTTGTTTAATTCGCAGTCTCTGTTAACCTGTATCACCGCTGCCAATTGCAGATAACAGGTACACGTATTCTATAACACAAAGTACGAGCAGGTAGGTCCAGTACTCATATCCTCTGCTCGGGCCTGGCTTTGACCTTTCCATCGACCCGCTTTGACACGGGCGGCTGCAGAAAGACCTGGCAGACAGATAGACAGACAGGCAGACAGGCAGACAGACTAACCTACCTTTGCCTACAAAGTGCTTTAGTGTATGTAGGTAGGTATCTAGGTATGCACATATATTCAGCGTTCGACTAGCCAACTTATATTAGAGGTACGTACATACTTTGTCCAATCCTCAACCTTACATCAGCCACCCCCCCGGTCTCTAGGTAGCACCTAGGTATGTACCGTACGCACCCCCGGTGACTGACGACTCAGAGCAGCACAGCACCGCAACTCTTATTTCCTGGAGCCTTGGACCCTCCCAAATCCTCTCCTCCCCCTCCGCTCGCCGCATTCACCTAAGCCTCGACAAAGAACCGACCAGCTTTATCGCCCCCAAAAAACACACCCGGTGTCAACGAGCCCACGTCCAAACAAGCAGCCATTCTCCCGACCGCTCCCTGATATGTGATGACCTCGATATTATCCCCCATATTATCCGACCACCGCATCCCGCTACAAGGCTTCGGCGCACAGCCGTCGACGAGGAATAGATGCCGCCGCCTCAGCGCTGCTGCCGTCGCTGCTAATCACGACCCCTCTTCCACCACTCGACGCCCCGGCGCAACCACCATGGCAGAACGGGCAGCTTTTGTCCGGGTTTCCGGCCCGCCAAACAGCAGTTTTCTCGTTGGCTATCCCGGCATTTCAGCAACGCTGGTAAGTGACCGTTAATCAATCGATTCGTCCATGTTGCCTGTTTGTCTGTTGTCTGCTCGTATTTACATCGCTCCGTCATGTCGAGGATGCCGAGGCCCAGGGTTGGGGATTCGCGAGACGAACTCCCCTCTGCTCCAAATGCCCCGACTGCCCGACCTGATCAAACCGGTCAGACCAGCTAACCGTCTCATGCAGCCGCGCATAGAGGGCAAAGTCGAGATCAGACCACTGAAAGGATTCAGCGCATCCGTTCCCATCTCCCTCGTCCGGATATGCCTGCAGCGGAGGGAAACAATCCACCCGGCCGCCGAGAGCGTGACCAAGCGGCACCTTGGCACGCCCCGACGCGAAACTACCGACCTCGTCGGTAAGGAGCTTCTGTTATACCGGTGCGCAACCGGGAAAGGATTCGAGAATGTTATGGCGATGGACTTGCCCTTCGTCTTGTTCATCCCCTTCGGGCGCGGGGGCGAGGAGACAAACAGGAGGATACCACCGGCGTCGTTAAGGCTTCCGAGTAGAACTGCAGAGACCTGCTACGAATTGGTCGTGACGGTGCAGCAAGGTCAGAGCGTGCAGAACAAGTATGCGTTTCCCGTGCCCTTGCAGCGATACGATACTTTATCGACCTTTGGGATGTACAATCGGCCCGAGACCAAAATCGCGTCTGTCGACAGCATAGTGAGCCTCGGTATTTCGTTACCGCGATGGAGCTATGGTCCCACAGACCCGATCACAGTATATATTAAGCTGGCCCCGAATCCAGACTGGTTGGCCAAGGCGAGGAAGGTCACCATACAGAAGATCACACTAACGATCGAGGAAGAGATCACTTATAATCCCGAGGGCGACGAACCGACCAAGAAGATCAACAGGCTGCAGAAACGGGTTCAAAATGTCGGTAGCAAGCTGCCAGAGAGTGGCTGGGTGACAAATATGGGTGTCGTTTTCCCACACAAGGATCTACGAGACCCTCAGGGGATTATTCGGAGAGGAGACCCATCATTTCCTAATTATGAGGTTACATCATTCACGACGGCATCAACTCTCTACAAGATTGAATTCTTTCTCGGAATTAAGGTAGGCGAGCTTTTCTAATAAGACTCGATGCTGTGGGTTAGTGCTGATAAAATTCACCCATAGGCATCTTTGACGTCTGCCCGTGATATCACCCTTCGACAACCTATAGTCATCTGTCCGTTAGACCACCAAGCATGTAAAGAGGAGATGGATGCTATTGAGCAGGCGGCTAAGGATGCTTCTTCTATCGACCAGAACAACCCAATGCTACCAGCAAGAAATATCGTATTAGCCAACGATCCAAATGCCCTAGCTACGATAGGGCTCTGTCTGGTAGGGGGTCAAAAGAAGCCGCTGATCGAATGAACCATCACTCTGGCAAACTAATGATATAAGATACCGAAGCCCAAACTCGTTCTCGTTGCCACTTCAGACACGCTAGAAACAATCGGCTTCTTCGATGCCAATGTCGGTTTTCTAGCTTCTTGCAGCCTTCTCCAGACCCCTGGGCTCGAGTAACTGAGAGCTTATCTTGATCGGCTGCGGCTGCGCATTAACGCGATCAAGGAAATAGATATCTTATTGACGCGCTAGCTCCGAAACGGGATAAAAAATATGTCAAGCGATTTTGGCTGAAAGAAGTCTCGAGTCAATCTACGGCCTCCGTTTCTTTGGCGGAAGTCGATATGCGAATGACCCAATTCCACTGCGCCAGGCAGAGAGAGGCCTTGTGAGGATGGCCTTATTAGCATTGATCACTCGAGCAGAAACCGGCAGTGGGTCACCCCCAGAAAGCTGGCAATACATGCTCGAGGAAAGCAAATAATCTCGCAGTCATAATTCATCGGGAGGAATATGTGGTATTATAGATGAGGTAAAAGGGAAGGAGTCGGAGTACGTGGTTTCATGCCCTCTTGGTTATTAATCTAGCGTCGATCATGACAATCCACATGAAGGTCCCGCGGCGTTACGAGGGTAGATTTCGCAAAGCGAGCAGGATATCCACTGGAGGATGGGGTCTTCTTGGGGCGTTACGGAAAACTTTTGGCTTGAGTCGTAACTGGCGACCTTTTACTTCTCGAATATCTAACGGCCAGCACATTTTGTAGTTCACAGCACTACCAATACCGACTAATCTACGATCAAGCCGCATTTTTTTCCGTTCTACGCAATGCGAACGCACAGGATCACATGTCCCAGTGCACACGTTTATATACCTTACTCCAGGGTGAGACTTTAGTCAGTCGGATAGACGGCCATAACGTGACATACCTATGCACACAGGTGTTATATATATGGCACTATACGTTTTTCTAGCCTTTTCTGTCGAGGTGGAACAGATATGAAGGGAAATATGGCAATGAAATATTCGATAATGACAGAGTTCCAAGTTGTATTATATAAAGTTTATTAAAAAGAAGCTTCTTTATATACTTACCTACCTACCTAGCTTTTAATAATTTGTAAATAACAAATTAAAATGAATAGATCAAGAGGTTGAGAAGCAAAATGATGCTGAGACTAAAAAGCTCAAAAACAAAAGATTATGTTGAGAGCTGCAGGATTCGAACCTGCGCGGTTTCCCATTGCGGTTTCAAGTACTCCCCTTTAGAAGGGGAATGACCTAAACACAACGCCTTAACCACTCGGCCAAACTCCCATGAAGGCAAACAGATGTTACCAGTATAGATCTCGCTCATTTTAGGGCAAAGGAGGGGTAGAAATTGCATTGGTTGGCTGAGGTCCACTTGAGGCGGGAATACAAAGTGGGGAAGTCCTTGCAGGTTGGGCCCGTATTTAACTGTCACTTGAGGTGATCTGCAAGGCTGAGCGGCCGATCAGAGACAAGAAAAGAGAAAAAGCGGCAGCCTCGTTAGAAATTTCCTGTGTCAGTCAGTTTATCACTGTTCAACATTTCTTGCCAATTGATTCAATTTCTCCATTTCACTCGCCGCCATGCCCTCTGATGACGAAGACCCCGCGCCCGCCTCCTCCGTCAATGACCCCGCCGCCGCTACCGGCGAGAACGACGGCGGCGGCGACGTCCATCCTTCACTCGAAGATGACGACGATGCGCCCGCAGACGACAAGACGCAGGATTTCCGCCACTTTAACACGCTCTTCAACAAGCGCCAGGCCTTGGGCCGGACCGTGCGCCGCGGCGAGAAGGACTTCGAGTCGCACGGCACGCGCGCGCAGGAGGGACAGCTCGAGTCCAGCCGCGCCGCCATGCACGAGGTCCTAAGCTACACGCGCACCCATAAGTCTAAGGACTACCTGCGGGGCTGGTACTTCCCCGACCGCTGGGCCGACATGCCCGCCGGGGAGAAGGAGGACGGGGGCGCGGCGGGCTTGTTCGCGAGGGAGAGGGTCGTCGTGCTCGAATCGGACAAGGGCACAATGGCGCACACCACCGGCCGCGTCGTCACGGGCGCCGAGAAGCACTCCCCCGGCTGGCTGAAGACGTGGCTGCTGCCTGAGGAGGCGCTGTACCTGGTCGAGAGAGGGTCGCTGGACCTGTGGTGGCCGGCAAGGGGGATCGAGGATGTGCTCGTCACGGCGGAGAAAGGAGGCGAGGATAGCAGCAATTTGGCTGAGAATGCCGCCGAGAGCGAGAATAGGACAGAACTCGCAGACTACGAACTCGGGGTCCCGCTGAGTCTCCAGGGGGCGTATGCGCTGCTCGTCGGCCGCGACGGGGAGAGGGGCAAGGTCAGCCTCGAGAAGTACCAGGTCTACGCAAACCTGCGGCGGTCGGGATACAGGGTCCTAAGAGCTACGTCTTCGATACCTCCACCGATGCCGACAACGACTGGAGTCGCGCCGGGGAAACCGCCGTTGCGCGCGCTGTGGGAGTGGCTGGTCTCGCTCACAGGGAAGACACATGATGACACGAGCACGCCCGTGACAAAAGGCCGTCCCAGATATGGCTACGGCCCACTCGTGAGACCCGGGCTCTACCGCTCCTACGGGCCCATCTACGCACAACTCGCGCTGATCCCGCGGCACAAACCCACTCCTACTCTCTTGCCCACAGCAGCAATAGAACCCTTCCGGGTCCACTACCACGCCTGGAACAACACGTCAGCATTCACCAAGGCGCGCCCCCCACCGCCCGACTTCCGCATCGCCGTCGTCGACGCCCGGTCCTCCGGCGTCCCCACCCTCGAGGAGATGTCCGCGCTCCTGGAATCCGGGACCCCGCTCGAGCCTCCTCCGCCGCAACCCGAGCCGGGAGCACAGCAGGGCGGGGCGGGCCCTATGTACAGGCGCCTCAAGCACGCGTGGCGCAACGCCGTCGTGGCCGTCGTGGACACGGGGATGGTGAGCTACCTGCGCTTCGGCGAGATGGCGTTCGCGGAGGAGAGGCTGTACGAGAGGTTCGTGGGTGGTGGTAGCGGTGGGAGTGGTGGGGGGAAGGGGAAGAGGGGGGGACGAGGGGCGGGAAGGGGAAGGGGTGGGAGAGGCGGTAGGGGGAGAGGGAGCGGGCGGGGGGCTTGAGGAATGGGGGAAGTGTTTGGAGTAGGATGGGTTGATGGATTTGTTGGATATGGGATGAGAGGGTTGGTATGGATATATATGTATGTGGATACTGATATGGATACTGATGATGAATCATGATCATGACTTATTTGGATGGACGGGATGAGATACGACACAGGCTCTGGGTTTTATTATGTGACTAGCGGCTAGACGGTTGGTTCAAAGGGGTTATTCTTGGGGGGTTCGATGAGCAAAGAAGCCCCCCTCTCCCGAGAAGAAAAAGAAAAAAGAAAAGGGAGGGGCAAGGACTTTCCCTATCACCACAAGTAGTCACTAGAAGAAATGGAGGACCTATCTACATTGGAGATGCCTTACCTACCTATGTAGTTTCTATTTACCAAAACCTGACGAGAATTCCCCTTGATTTGCGCTCCACGCTCCTTTTTTGCTATATACGGGATAACCTGTGAGTCTATTCCCGTTATGATGCATGATCGTTACCAAGTGGATGGTAATGCCATTGCTCGCATGTTGAAGACATATGGTGGTAGGTGAGATGGGGGTTTGGGGTTGAGTATATAGGTAGGTACCTAAGTAGGTATGATTCGCCTTGTTACAGTCTCCTCTACACGAGAGCAAACAAGTTGGGCGACTGATTTGACAGGCTTTCGATATCTCTTTTCTGTTCCATGACTTTTTTTAGTTAATTCTGTAGGATCTTTCATGATTGTATTTTGATCGAGTGGGCTGATTACCTTGGGTACTTAAAATTCAAAAACTAAAAAATCAGTCTCAACTCAAGCAGAAAACCTGGGGGTTTTTTTTTTAATTTTGATTTGCGTGTAAGATTCCAATTGTGTTAGTTAACGTTGAGTAGTATGTATGTAGCAAAGAATTGATAGATGGTACGGTATTTTACAGAAAAATGGAAATTAAACAGTAATATGTGTATTTTACCTCCGTTGAGGCTGGATACAGACGCGTAGAGAGAAGGAGAGGGGCTCAGGGGCAGGGCTCGGGATGACTGGACTACAAGGGGCGCTGTTGTAATCGAGCTGCTTGATGTGTGAAGATGTGTAATCTGGTGTTGATCTATCTCTACGGCATTGGAATGGATGGATGTAAGAAAAGAATAATAGCCACATGAGCAAGTACCTAGGGTACTTGCTGTAACATACCTAAGGTTAGGTATATAACGTTTTGATATACTTAAATACCTATCTACCTATCTTATATGTACGTATACAACCTTGGAGATAAGCTGGATATGAAGTGTATTAAAGGCGTGAATGATATTATTAGAAATAAAACAAGAAAAAAACGAAAAGAAGGATTTCAGGGTTTTTTTTTTTTTTTTGCAATACTTTTATCGTGAAAGGCTTTAATCTTAAGAAGGTTCGCGCCAGGAAGCACTCCAGTATGTATATATAGTGTAGCAATGTAGTTGGTACACGACAGACTAGAACTACAGCTACGTAGAACCCAGTGTCCTTTTTATCCTTATATGCAAGCATGTGTGTAGATTACATGTATCATGTCCATTAATCTCCTTCTACACTGCAGCTCCAAGACCACTCCAGAGCTAACCTCACTAACCTCACTATAAAACGTGCCTTATACCTATCCATATATCCAGCTCCCTGTTTGGGTGTTATGGGGGAGGGAAGGGTTAACCCATACGGCATAGCCACCTCTCGGTACCTACGTACATGCATCTAGGTGGAGTGAAACGCCTGCTAGTAGGAAGAAGGGACTATTATCGGCCTTGTGTAGTGTTACTTTGGGTCTTAGTGTTGCTACTTAGGTAGGACTTTTCGTTTCGTGATTTGTGTTTAGGACTTCAGGGCTGGGGGCCTTAAGTCCTGGAGCTTGACATGTAGTACAACGTAGGAACTGCGACGTGAGAAGTAGATCGATGGATACGTTGCAGGCATTACTTGCTACGCAAGAGAAAGAAAGGAAGAATATTAACCCGTAAATCTTTTTTAAAAAACATTGTGTCCTAAGTAGTTGTAGTTCTAGTTCCTTAAATAATAACTACGCAGAAACGGAGGCTTTTAACTGCTATGAGATTTGAAGGCAATTTTTACCTAAACGCTTCCCACACACGACTTCTGCTACGAAGCCCGGTATTAAAGTGGTTAATAAATTTTCAGGACTTAGAAATCGAATTTATACCCCATCATCTAGTATAAAGAATAAGCATATCTGACGACTGTTCGTATAAATGGTCATCACCGCTTCGTATTTCGTATTTCGCTCTTAAGCACTAGGTAGTTATGCTAATGAGAGGACGTGGAGTCAGAAGAGGGAAGGAAGAAGAGAGGGAGATAAGTCCAATATTTACACTTATAAGCATTCAGAATAGCCACTATCGTAGCGATAAGTGATCTGACTTAGTGGTATTCCCATTATCCTTTTGATACCAATTGTGCTGGTTGTTACTGTAGTCGATAGAACGGATATTGTACACGTATGGTGTTGCTCGAACGATTTCGTTCGAATATCTGTGTTTTATAGATTCATGGCAATGTTTTGCGCTATAAAGCATCCAGATATTACCTCACAGTGCTTTCAAACCCATGCACCGACGGTTGAATGTAAAATAGACATATATAGCTGCCGGCACGAGTATATTGCCTATTATATTATCGACAATATCCCTACACTCAAAGTTTTCTCCCTTTTCCACCTGTGGTATTTGGTAAGAGCTAATTGTGATGCTCATGTGAACCCATAAAAAGTAGATAGTGCAATACTATCTACTATGTGTCTCCTTTGTCGAGTATCCGTGCATACCTAAGGTTGTAATCTAGGTATGTACTTATTCTTATACCTCCAATTTCTCGGGGTTACAAATACGATAGCGATAACAGGCATCCTTGGTCCATACCTTGTATCTTATGTGCTGTACAACAAGAAAAAGAATGTTTCGGTTTTGATAGTCGGCCGCACATTCTGTTCTTTGAATACATATATGCAGGTCGATATGTTAAAAATAAGAGGATACCTTTCTGAAAAATGTCCTATATGTAAAGCTGTTACTCGATATGAAGTTGTTTGTATATAGTACACTTTCTCTCGCCTTGAATAGCTTGGCGAGGGGGGATGACGAAATACTCTCAATGGAGATATTTATATAGAAGCCCGAAGGTACCTAGTTATCGTTGTTGGTTA